GATCAAATTGGCAGCCAGCATGATATTAAAGAAGCGCAGAGCACGTGTGAGCTTTAGAGCGGGCGCCATCTTGAAGGATTCTTTCGCGCTAGATTTCAAACTTCTTACGTTAGGATTTATCACCACCTGATTCGCATCTTTAGCAATCACCAAAGCCTCCAATTTTTTTTTATTCGCCAGATTCCAACGACGTATTGACACCTGCACAGCAAGAATATACGATAGGAGGTATATCATGAGAACGCCACTAAGACACGACCGCACGGTTCGACTTGTAACTTGAAAGTGAGTGTCACTGGTGTCACAACAGTAGCATTACGAAATAACCCAGTAAGCAGTAACAGAAGTCAAATCTGATAAAATTCGTCGATTCATTTACTAAGGTTAGTTGGTATCTCAAAACACAACAATAATTGGGAATCCATTTACCTCTCTGCTGTTTTTCTTCATGCCAAAATGATTCCTAAAGTTATCAACGAATATTCAAATTAAAAAGACAAAAACACCTGCATCCATAACTATTATGAAAATGAAATATTGTTATTTTTTCCATTTTCCATTAAATATTGAAACTTGAAAAATAAAATTTAAAAAAGAAAAAAGAAAACAACGATTATCTCATTCCTGCTGTACATGGGGTTCATTTGCAAACATCGAAGAGGACATTATCAAGTAATAACACAGCAAAATAACAGAAAACTTATTGGTTTTCCGCTATCAGGTTAGATTAGTTTGGTCCGCAACAAAACAAAACGAGGACAAGTAAGTCAATGTATACTGAGTTTTTTTTTCTTTTGGAAAAAAAATAGAAAACCTAATAAGTCCGAATCGGATATCAAGTCAGAAAAACTGCGGGTTTTTTCCCAAAAACCGAAACCAAATGCCCAAAAAAAGAAAAATAAAAGCCGCAAACTGATACTGACACCAAATTCGGTGGCCAATTTACAATTTCAGCTTAGTCGATATAACCAAATTAAATTATCTTGTTAGCCCCACCGACGCAGCACCCCAGTTTCTTTAGAAACTTTCAGCCTTTATTCAATCTCATCATACTTTGATTAACATTACGTAACATCTTTTGGCGTGTGTGTGTGTGTGTGTGTGTGTGTGTGTGTGTGTGTGTGTGTGGGGAGGGGTGGGGGGAGAGGAATTCGCAGAGACCTAGTCTCACAATTGTCGCCTTAGGGCACATTCTATGGTCTCTGATCACGTCACTTATCAGACAACTTTCTAATAGCATCCCCCTTCTGGCAGAGCCAGAAATTTATGAACGTCCCCGAGGGAGGGAGGAGAGGAGACTCCTCTGAACGCTAACGGCATTTTGAAAGATGCTGGAAGAAAGTACTTCCTTTTTATTGTCAAACCAACAATGTTTTCTTAAACGCCCGTAATGTGTCACTCATTACCGTGACGACTATATTTATAGAAACGCAAAACTGGCTTAAGGCCCAATTGCTGACGTTAATGCGCAGATGTTTAAGAATGTCGTTCGGAAGCAGAAACTGAAATCAAACAAACACGTTTATTTGTAACACAGTAAACGGTAAACTCGCGGTAAAGACAGTAAATACCAACGACCGCCAAATAAAATGCTACTCAAAAACTAAAAAAAAAAAAAAAGTTGCACACCTCGAAAAAAAGTCCACGTGATTTACTGACGACATTTTAACTTATGTTACCGAACTTGTGTGCGCTGCTCACGCGCACACAATTTCGGTGACGTCTTCTTTACAGATGTCGTCCTTAGTGACTTGAAATAAATGAATGGCGCTTTCGTAAGAATATTCATCTTAAGATAATGATCTGGAACAGATGTATGCAGACGGCCTTCTGTATGTGAATTAAACGCTGTTTAAGACGGTTCGACAGTTCGATCTGAATTGAAGTGAGGGAGCAGCGAAAATATACTCCAGGTATTCTAATATTCGAAATGTCGATAAGGTGAAATGTTAGTAAAATAGGTCACAGACGTAATTGAGTAAGGGGCGGAATATCAAACCTGTGGGAAAAATTAACTGCACTTTTTCCATCCTCGATATTTAACTCAAGGCAATAATGAATTACTTCAGCCATTCTCCATTTACGGGGTTACAAAACATCTGTAGATTTGTTAGCTTGACATTAAGCACTTAGTAACTTTTCCCATGCCGCTTTCCAATAATAATGATAATAATATATTTACTTATTAATGTGTTATTATAAATAGTGGTGTGTTAGTTATTCAGGCTCTTTCCGCTGGAATAAGATAAGAATTATAACAACATATTTACATTTTCGTGTTCAGTCAGTTGTTGAAGACACGTGCTTGGTGGCGCGGACAACTAAATCGGAAGAACAAGAAATAAGTAATCTTTGGAGTAATTACCTGAAATATTACTGCGGAAATGTAATTGCAAAGGTAAGCCTGGAAAGGTAAGTGTAACTGGAATGCTATAAAATTCCTTAGTTACCGTCATGACATGAACCGAATATGGTAATTTAAATTGTTCTCGAATTGCAAATGTGCAGAGCGGTGCCTTCAATATGGCCTCCGCTAACATGTACGGCGATTTAAGCAAAAAAGGAAAAGGCTTTTGTTTTTATCAGATATTTCAACTTAATTCATGTACATAAACTAAGTTGTACTAAAATGTTATATGAAGGGATACACGCAAGTGACTATTTTCACTTTCCCTCAGCTTAACAACTGAAAACAAGAAGATGGCGTCTAGAAGGACCATATGGGGTTTCTTAATTGCTTTCTGTAAGCACTTTTATGTTTATTAAAAAGGATATCAAGCCAAAAGAATAAATATTTCACATGAGTTTATTCCAAAGCAAATCACAAGCTGATATAAGACTCAAGGTATCTTGCCCTGCACTTGTTGCTTAGATGACGTTTTTAAAAGACATGTTTCGAAAGTAACCACCATCATCTTCAGTTAAAATATTTACGAAGTAATACTTTTAACTGAAGATGGCAGTAGTTACTGTCGAAACATGACGTTTAAAAATGTCATTTATTTTCCCAAATTCGTTATATCATCTGCTCTTATCTAGCCTTGTTGCTTAAATGTTTAGGTCTGAATAGAAGGCACTCGCGAGAAGATTAGGAACCTCAGCGCGATAGAAACACTTGGCGGAAGGAAACTGTTGGACGGGGACCCGAAACATGTTCCACTGCTCCTTCTTAAATTAGGTGACATCCAGCACATAGGTCCTACTTTCGTCGCTTTCACGGCTTTTCGGTCTACGATCCTTCCATGAGTAGGAACGGGCTTAACGAGCCAGCAGCAGACCATGTCCGTGACATAAAAAATATTCAAATTATGCAGCGCAAGCGTTTGGCTGAGCAAAATACAGTTTAATGGCTCTTTGTTTAATTTTCAACCAAATCGTGTTGCAAAACAGTTTTTTCTCTCATTATTAAGCAACCAGCCGTATCCCCTGCGCCTAGAGAAAGCAAATTATTTTTATTGTTGATGTTCGGCATCAAAGGTGCGCTCACGTAATAATGTCATTTATATCCGTCATGAGGAGAGACAAGTTTATTAAAAATGCGTTTGTAGAAAATTTCATCGCAAGGTTAATGAATCAGTAGTGAACCGAAAGATCGAAAGAAAAGATCATATGTGTATTTTACGGAAAAGTT